TTAATCTATTTTTAAACTTTTTGTTGTTGTTGTTGTTGTTTGTTTTTTTAAAATACATTTTAATGTCCCCTATTGGGGATCAAGCCTGCAATCCAGGCATGTGCCCTTGACCAGAATCAAACCTGGGATCTTTCAGTCCACAGGCCAACACACTATCTGTTGAGCCAAACCTGCTAGGGCAGGTTGTTTTTTACTGTTGAGCTTTAAAAGTTCTTTGTATAGTTTTCATAAGAGTCTTTTATCAGCCACGCCCACCAGCCAATCAGAGCAAGTATGCAAATAAACCCAACCAAGATGGCTACAGCCACAGAGAGCAGGAGGGAGGCTTGGGTTTCCCAGGAGATAGAGGAAGCCAAGCTTTCCGCCTGCCCTTGCCAGCCTAGGCCTCCACTCAAAGCTACAAAGTTTCAATTATAGAAGGTACATAAGTCCAAACAGGAATGGCTGCCGGCCACGGAGTGAACAGAAGGCTTGGCTCCACTACAGGCTACAAAGTTTCAATTGTATAAGGTAAACAAATTCCAGATACCAGGGCCTCTGCTTGGGTCACTGGGGGGCATGGCCAGCCTGCAGACTACCACAGGCCCCTCACTCAGGCCACCTGAAACCCCAAGGGAATCCCCACCCTGATCAGGGACAGCCTTCAGGGCAAACCAGCTGGTCCCCACCCGGGCACCAGGCCTCCATTCTATCTAATAAAAGAGTAATATGCAGATTGACCATCACTCCAACACTCAAGATTGCTGCCCCCATGTGGTCAAAGATCCTGCCCCTATGTGGACACAAGATGGCCATCAGGGGAGGGCAGTTGGGAGGCACCAGACCTGCAAGGGAGGGCAGTTGGAGGCGATCAACCCTGTAGGGGAGGGCAGTTAAGGGTGACCAGGCGGCAGAGGAGGGAAGTTGAGGGCAAACAGTCTGGCAGGGGAGCAGTTAGACATCAATCAGGTTGGCATGGGAGTGGTTAGGTGTGATCAGGCTGGCAGGCAGAAGTGGTTAGGGATAATCAGGAAGGCAGGCAGGCGAGCAGTTGGGAGCCAGTAGTCCTGTGTTGTAATAGGGATGTCCGACTGCCTGTTTAGGCCTGATCGTCGGACATCCCTCGAGGGGTCCCAGATTGGAGAGGGTGCAGGCAGGGCTGAGGGACACACAATACCCACCCCCAAGCCCCATGCACGAATTTCGTGCACTGAGCCTCTAGTGCTAATATAAATAGCATTGCATTTAAAATTTTAAATTCCACTTTTTCATTATTTATATATAGAAAAGCAGTTGGCTTTTGCATACTAACCTTGTGTTCTTAAATCTTGCTATAATCACTTATTAGTTATAGGAGCTTTTTTGTCAGTTCTTTTATCATTTGTGAATAAAGACAGTTTCATTTCTTCCTTCCCAATCTGTGTACGTCCTTCCCCCCCACCGCTCCCCACCACTACTTTGTCTTATTGTGTTAGCTAATACTTACAGTATAATGTTAAAGCAAAGAGAAGACCTTCTTGCTTTGTTCCTCATCTTACTGGGAAATTTTTAAATTTCTCGCTATGATGTATGATGTTACCTGTAGTTTTTAAAATAAATATTCTTTATCAAGTTGAGAAAGTCCCCCTTTATTACTAGTTCACTGAGAATTTTTATCATGAATGGGTATTGGTTTTCTCAAATGCCTTTTCTGCATCTGTTGATTTGATCATATGGTTTTTTGTGTTGTTTTTTTTTTAACCCTGTTAATATGATAGATTACATCTAGTGATTTTCAAATATTGAACCAAGCTGCATACTTGGAATGAATCACACCTAATCGTGGTATCTAATTTTTTTATTCACTGTTGGATGTGATTTGCTAATACTTCATTAAGGATTTTTGCATCTATTTCTATGAGAAACACTAGAGGCCTGGTGCATGAAATTCATGCATAGGGGGATTGTCCCTCAGCACAGCCTGCACCCTCTACAATCTGGGACATCCCTCTCACAATCCGGGACTGCTGGCTTCTAACCGCTTATCTGCCTGCTTGCCTGATTGCATCTAACCACTTCTGCCTGCCAGCCTGATCACCCCCTAACTTCTCCCCTGCCAGCCTGATTGATACCTAACTTCTCCCCTGCCAGCCTGATTGATGCCTAACTACTCCCCTGCCAGCCCGATCCCCCCTCAACTGCCCTCCCCTGCTGGCCTAATGGCCCCCGGCTGACCTCCCCTGCAGGCCTGGTCACCCCCAACTGTCCTCCCCTGCTGGCCATTTTGTGGCAGCCATCTTGTGGTGGCCATCTTGTGATGATGTCATGTGAAGGAGTGACACCATCTAGGGTTTTATTATGTAGAAGTGGTCTGTATTGTCTTTTGATTTTGGTTTTAGGGTGATGCTGGTCTCATAGGATAAGTTAAGAAATATTCCCTCTGCTATCTTCTGAAAGAGATTGTAGAGAATTGGTATAATTTTCTCCTTAAATGTTTGGTGAAATTTACCAGTGAACTCATTTATGCCAGGTGCCTTTTCTTTTGAAGCATTATTAATTATTGATTTAATTTCTTAGATATAAGCCTATTCAGATTGTTTCTTTTTCTTTTTGTTTGAGTTTTGGCAATTGTGTCTTTCAATTGTGTCTGACCTAGGTTATCCAATTTTTAGACATAGAGTTATTCATAGTATTTCTTTATTATCCTTTTGATGTCCATGGGATCTGTAGGATGTGTCCCCATCTTCATTTCTGATATTAGTGATTTGTGTCTTCTCTTTTTCTTACTTAAACTTACTAGAGTTTTATTAGGTTGTTTTCTTTTTTTATTTCTTTTTTGCAAATGACCTCTTTTGGTTTCTTTTCCTAGTTTCCTAATAGCTTTTAAGTATTTTTTATTTTCCTGGAACATGGGTACTTTTATATTAAAAACCAGTGTTTTATGGGTGTTATAGTGATTAATACTTTTAATGTTCTATATATATTCACAAAGTATTTTTTCAAGTACCTCTCTTATTTAATAATGAGAAACTTTAGTGATTTCTGCTGACTTAAGAGCCATCAGCAGAACTTATAATTGTTGGCAATTAAATGCTTTATTTTTATTTAGGAGTACCTGTGGATAGCCAAACTGGGGAAATGGCATTAAAGAATTAGCAACTGTGTTGCCCAGATTAGGAATGGTTTTTCTTCTTCCTTTCCCAGAGTGTTTTGCCAAGTGCCTTGCATTATTTGAATAGAAGTGAAGCCTGTGGTCAGAGAGACAAGTGAGGAGGAGGAGGGTCATCTTGGCTGGGAATAGCAGGTGAAGGCAGGTGTTTAACTTGTATATTTGAACTCATTTAAGCACTTATAAGGTCAGCTATTGTACTTTCCTTTTTTATTTCTTCTGTTTTTTAAATTGTGGTTATCCTTTCTTCAGCATTGCCTTTTGAGTTTCATAGACATAAGTGATTAAAAAAAAAAGTTTTGTTTTTACCACAGATTGAATTTACTCACATTTTATAGGATAAGTCCAGATAAACAAATAAATAAAAGATGGAACTGCCATGCTAATAAAAATATTTTATTATTTTTTATTAGGACTAGAGTCTTATATAAGACTAAAGTTTTATTACATTGTTTTCTTTTCTTTTTTCTTTTTTTCAAATGACCTGCTTTTGGTTTCTTTTCCTGGTTTCCTAAAGAAAAGAAACCCATGTTCAACTGACCTGCTTTTGGTTTCTTGTCCTAGTTTTATATGATTCTGTCCATATAAAAAAAGAGTTAAAACTATTTTTTGCTCATTGCTTCACTTTACTAATGTATTTTTATGAAGACATCTTTGTATGGCATGATAGTATTCATTAAATAGGATCTTTTTCCTTTGTACCTAAAAGATTTAAAAAGTCAGTTTTTGTACTGAGCATCTTAATCAGGCTTGTAATAAAATCACACCTGCATATATCCTTACATGGCAAAGAACAGCTAGTACTGATGGGCCCAGATCAAACTGTTGTTCACTTTTACAAAAGTTAATCTTGTGTAAAGATACTAGTGTCCTCTCTTGCCTTTACCTATTCCCTTTGGGCTTTAAGATTTAATGTGATGGGCACTGGTTCTACACATAGTTGGGTTTGCTAACAAATTATACAGTTTTGAGATAATTAGAATAATGTGAAATATATATTACTCTATTTTTAAATATTTTTGTTCAAAAGCAACACAAACTTTAATATTTATCCTCTTTATTAGACTATTTCTGAGTTGCTTGATATTAAAAAACAAGTCTGAAGATTTTATCACCTTCTTATATATTCACATAACTTGTAGTGTTATTCAATAATGTTATTTTGCTTAAATGTTAAAAATATGGATAGCCAAAATTACATTCCATATTTAGAAATAAAAGGTGGTGTGTGTTTTTTGTTTTTTGGGGTTTTGTACAGATGAACAAGACATATTTTATATTGAAAACCCTAGCATCTAAGAAAAATGCATGTTTACCTTGATGTTTGGTATTAACTTATTAAATGCTAAATAAATTAAAAAGTTATAGACTGAATTGAGTTTTTTAATATAAATGATCACCTAAAGGTGTTGACCAACAGTTCAACAGGTCTTGGCAGAAAAATTGAGAAGGTTCATAAAAGGATTGAGAGGTATCCTGAGGCCAAGAATCTAGGGGCATCCTGGGGGGTTACTGATTTGACTGCCAATTTATTTGTGGGCCACCTGCCTGCCTGCAATGCTTTCATTTAAAAAAAAATTCCTGGTTATTCTTTTAAAGAGTATTCACATGTATTTCACAGGAAATTGACTCTTCAAAAGGTCAGTTATGCTTGTACTGTTTTTTTTTTCTTTTGAATCATTTGAACAGTTACTTGATTTTTTTCTTTTTCCCTCCAGAGTAATGGTATTTTTTAATCACTAAACGTCCTACTTATCATTTTACCCTATTTAACATGCAGAGTTTGGTAATTATTTTGATTCTGTTATCTACATGGTAAATATTATTGACTTCATAAGAGTTACAACAAAGATCTGCTTTTCTTCATTCCTAGGCAAATACTGTGGTCAGGGATTGCAGATGAACCATTCAATTGAATCAAAAAGCAATGAAATGACAGTGCTGTTCATGAGTGGAATCCATGTTTCTGGACGAGGATTTTTGGCTTCATACTCAGTTATAGATAAACAAGGTAATTTTCACTTTATACAATGGCTTCTACATTTTACATTTCCTAAAAGCAAAAATAAAATTTTTTCTTTAATTATCTCTTGCATAAGCTTGGGATAGGATAGAAGGACTGAACAGTTAAAAACACATAAATTTGACAAGAAAATTTGATCAGTCTTAGATCCCAATAATTTAAAATCTATTAACTTTTATATAAAGCCCATATACTTTCCTTTCCTTAGTAGAGGAAAAACTGATTTTTCTCTTTTATAATATTGGAACACAATAATTACTTTAAAAAATCTGTCAACTACTGAAATGTAGTATAGCGATTTAAAGCTTTATTATTTATATTTTATCATTTCATAGTACTGTGCTAAAGGTTATACTATCATTTTTCTCAGAGAATAGAATCTCATACAACCAGGAGTACCATGAGTGCTATCTGAGACACTGTAAAATAAAAACATGTGATATTTTCCAGATAGTTAATGTTTAGAATCTAAAAGGGAGAGGGTGACTAAAATCAAGGCTGTTAAGTGGAATAAAATGTACAATTTATCTGAATTACTATGATAAAATGCAAGACTTGAATAAAATCTCTCATGTATTTTGACTACTTGGTATGTATTTATTCCCCTGTGCTATTAGGACTACTGTGATGAGAAAAGTTAAGATATGTTGCTAGTACAAGGACATATCAAATAATCATTTAAATTATTTCAATATTCAACAGTTTAGGTTCACCATTAAAAGTTAAAAATTGGGTTTTTAAATTGTATAAATAAGAAAATTGTCCAAAACCTCCCAGGTGTGATAATGTTAGGCACTGAGAGTAGTCTGCTTCCCATAATTTCTAAGCAATGGATGTGATGGATCAGGGTGTGAAGGCTAATCTCAGAGAGTGTAAGAAAGAACCATCATTGGAGGGAAAAATGGAAAGAAGAAAACTAGAAAATTATGCTAATGAGTAATTAAAAATTTTTATACAACCAGGAAAATTAAGGCAATGTAGTGTTTAGAAGGGGGACTTAGGTAGCCCTGGGATGGAAACAAGGTGACCCGTAGCCAGTCAGTTGAACTTAATCTAAAGTATATTAGTTGTGAGGAATCCTATATAATAAAAGCTTAATGTGCTAAGTGTCTGGTTGTCCGGTCATCCATTCAACCAATCCAAATGTAATATGCTAATGATATCCTAAGGCCGCTCAACTGCTCACTATGATGTGCATGGATTACCAGGGGGGCAAACAGTCAACTCGTTGACCAGACGCTATGACATACACTGACCACCAGAGGGAAGACTCTCCAACAAGTAGTTTAGCTTGCTGCTGGGTCCCACCGATTGAGACTGGGCAGGATGGTCTAGACATGCTTTGGAGCCCTCCTGTGGTCCCTCCCCGGCTGACCAACCTCCCACGTTTCTCCCAACCCCAATCATGCACTGGTGGGGTTCCTCAACCTGGCCTCTTGCAATCTGTGACCCTTCGGGGGATGTTGGAGAGCCAATTTTGGCCCAATCCTGCAGGCCAGGCCAAGAGACCCCACTGGTGCATGAATTTGTGCACTGGATCTCTACTAAGTCTAGTACATGTGTGCTGTCTGTAGTCACACATGCTAGGAACAAACAAATGTTCGTTTTGCCCCTTTCACCACTGTACACACATACTCATGTTCCCCCACCCCCTACCATCAAAGCAGTAAGGTAAAAGAGAGATGATGATAGATTTCCATCTTTTCAGCTTTATTTCCTAAGAATCTTGGGCTGGTAGGTGAAGGATAGGAAGTAAGCAGTTTGCTTCTTATTCTTAAGTTCCTTGGTCTTAATATCAGGTTTAATTATTTATTTTGCTTCATATGTTACCCTTCTCTATTTGTTATTTATTGAATTGAAGGTTTTTGGAAAATAAGTATTCTCTCTTAAAAAAAAATGTTCTTACATCATGATGATATTTAAATTATAGAGTTTCTTAATCCATAGGTGTCCTGTATTAAAGTTTCTTGAGAATTGATAAATTCCAAATAGCTATGACTTTATTTTACAACTTTCAAAGTTTTTAAAAAATTGGTCCTCAAAATCTTGAAGTTTTTATAATAATACTCTCACAATTCATAATCATCTTGGAAAATCTTCATTTCAGAGATTTCTCCTGAGTTTTTACCTTTAAAATAAACACACACATCTTTGTCCCATTCATCAAGTATTTATTTATTTATTTGAAGTTGAGAGAATTATCAAAATTCAAATGAACATAGGTTGAATTTCTTATTACTTACTCTTCTTGGGTGGCCTTTTAGTAATAATTTCTTATGACTCATTCATTTTGAAGGCTGGTTGGCTTTGGTTAAGAGCCTCATTTTATTTCCATCCAGGAAACTTAGCTGCCACACTGAATTCCATGAATATTTTCAAGGAACATCACTCCATGTCCCCAGCTTAGCAACCTAGTTGAAGTTTTAGAGCATTTGGGAATGAAGATTGTGAAAAATCTTGCTTCAATATCTTCTTTAATTGTTAATCTCTCACAAATGTGTTATAGAATCCTGATTTTGTGTGAGATAGATTAATTTTCATTACTTTGTGCAAGAGCACATTGGAAAATTATATTTCTTTTAATGTTTTATTTCCTGCTGTATGCTTGTCATTTAGGAAATAGCAGCAAATAATACAGATACAATCATGGGGTTTTCTGTACAGAGTTGGAAAAAAGATATCAAACATATGGTTACTTAATTGTAGTGATGAAACAATATACAATTAAGTCCAGTAAGTACAATGCAGGATACATTCAACAGATAGGAGGCCAGAGCAGAATGAGGAGAAGAAAACTGATAAAGAGCAAAGCTCTCCTGAAGAAGTGACCTTTAAGCTGAGAACTGAAGGATAAATTGAAAGTTACAGACAGACAAGGAATGAAAAACATTCTAGGGGAGAGAACAGCAGGTATAAATGCCTCGTAGTTGCAGTTCTGGAGGAAGCAGAAAAGAAGCCAGCACATCTGGAGTGAAATGCGTGCATGGTGAATAGGTCATATTATTCAGGACTTTGTAGAAAATGTAGGGGTTGAAGTCTGACTAGATTTATGATTTTTATAACTTTTATGGTTTTATTCTCTTATTTTTAATTATCTTTGAGCAGTAGTTTCCAGTATTTTATATTAACTGCTATTTTTAAAATTTTCACCTGTGAACCTCATTTTGAAAGATTGTATCTACCATTGAAAGGATAAGTTTTCCATTGCCTCATTAAGTACCAGGCAGATTCATATAAGTAGGAATCAGCACTACTAGTAATTATGCGAAAACGGTGATTTCTACTTGGAATTGGTATAATACCATCAAAATCCAACTAGACTCTCTGAAATTAAAAATTTCACCTGAAAATTAAAATGTATGTGGACCTTAGAAATAGTCTGGACATCATATTAACAACCACTATTTATAAGTTCTGTAGAGAGAAACTTCTAAGTTACTGCCAGTCTTACTGAGAGAGGCAGAACCAGCCAGTTATTCAGAGGTCCAGACCTAGTAACTCAGATCATTTAATCTAGTACTAGAGGTCCAGTGCATGAAATTTGTGCACTTGGTGGGGATCCCTCAGCCCAGCCTGTGCCCTTTCACATCCAGGAGCCCTCGGGGGATGTCTGACTGCCATGGAGGCAGGAGAGGCTCCTGACATCCCTGCTTTGCTTGCCAGCTGTGAGCCCAGCTTCTGTCCGAGTGGCGCTCCCCCTGTAGGAGTGTACTAACCACCAGGGGCCAGTTCCTGTGTTGAACATTTGCTCCCCGGTGGTCAGTGTAGATCATAGTAACCGGTTGTTCCACCATTTGGTCAATTTGCGTATTTGCCTTTTATTATATAGGATGCTGATCAATGCTACAGACATTTCCATTCTAAAACGTAAACTTAAAAACGTAGCATTTACCCCTGATCTTGAAAACTAAAATAAATTTTATAAGTGAGTTATCTCAGTTTCTAATTTTGAATCTGTTCGATATTGGTCAGTTCCTAGGAAAAGCTCAGCATTTCTAGAATGATTCTGGGCAATGATTTTTTCAAGTTATTTTAGTTTTAGGACAGGGCGCTTAGCTGATATATCTGCATTTTCAATGAGAGCTTCAAGTCCTTTAGGGAAGTTTCTATTTTTCATAAATTGGGTGGTGAATGTGTGCACAGTTGAAGAGTAGTAGTCTGATGTTTCTTTTGTGGAACATGAAATCATAACTTTAAAGGTAATTTTAGATTTCACTTTAGATTTCACTAAATTTAGAAATCACTTTAGATTTCATTAATCCAGAATTTTGTATTGGTCAGTCTAAAGGTTGCCTTTATTTTTGTGAGGAGAAATCATAAATGGTTGAAAATTTCATTTGAAATAAAATGACCAGTGTAGATATTACTGTACTTCCTAATTGGAACTCATAAACACTTGTTCACTCACTCCCCTCTAACCCCTAAGGACAATGTGCTTAAGACTTGTGAACAGCTGAGCCTGGGAAATGTTTCCATTTGACAGTTATTGTTGCTATATGTTAGATTATTTTTAGAGTTAACAGCAATAGTGTTAACAATTTTCTGATATCCATATTCTTTAACTACATTTTTTTGCAAATATTTTCCATTTCTTCCATCTTATATCAGATTATATCAACTTATTAATGAAACATGGGGCAAAAATAGAGAATTTCTTTGTATTAATAGAGTCCAGATTTTTTGTAATTATATTTTCTTCATGGAATGTTTTTGGTTTTGAAAATAGAGCATGAATTCCTTAGATTTTTTACTACCTTAATCATACAATAATTTTATAGAATTCTTTCTGTTTTGAGTACTATACTTAGCTAGGCTTCTATATTTAGTTTTTCTATTGTGTTCCTAATTTTTGTTACATTATTTGTGGCAAACATTTTAAAACTTTTAAGCTGTCTAGTAAGATTTTATTAATGCATCAGTTTACATACATATCGTATCTATCCTTATTTACACAAAAATGAATATGTATCATGTTTGTAATCATAATA